TAGACTGAATATTCGGATCATTACATAGACCAATCGTGACCGGTTCTTTTTTAGGAGGACAAAGCCAAGCGAGGTCAGACATATCAGCACATGGCAGTCCCAAGTATACTTCATATCAGAGCCTGACAGTGCCCAGAATAACCCATTGAGCAGCCCGACTATGTCCGAAATAAACTATATCAAGATGCTCGCAAAATCCAGCACAGCTTGTATCACGTGTGGGCAATGCCATTCAGAATCAACAGGGCCCAACATATTTATGATCAAAACCAAGCAAGACCAAAATCAATTATAACTCATGGCAGATACAGACAACGAATCACAGTCATGACGGCATTCGTGTTCTGTCACCGCTGGGCAGTGCTCAGTGGCACGTACATCATGACTGATCAGTGCCCAGTATCATGTATATCACCGCGGAGGACTGACAATTGTATGACAGCCAAGAAGGGCCAAAAATAATAAAGAGCCAACAGGATCATGTAAATCACAAGCTGGCATATCCAGCATGCCGCATATCACAAGGCACCCATGCCACTATGACTGTACAATATATCCCTGTAAGGTATCTCAGTAACAGTATATAGTAGCCTATACAATGCATCACTGGACTGTACTCAGAGGGGCAGAGAACACCAGAGATTGGCACTATTCAATATAATGTATTTCACTAGCTGGTATTACAACAGTGCACCAGCAAGTTGGCAATGCCCAATGTAGTATATACGACAGGCTGGCAGTATCCTGTACAGTAAACTACAGGCTGGGAGTGCCCTTTATAATATATATGACAGGCTGCCTGTGGTCATATAGTATATATGAGTGGCTGGCAGTGCCCATATAGTATATATGAGAGGCTGGTAGTGCCCAGTATAGTATATATGACAGGCTGGCAGTGCACTGTATAGTATATATGACAGGCTGGCATTGCCTTGTACAGTATATATGCCAGGCTGGCAGTGCCCTATATAGTAGATATGGCAGGCTGGCAGTACCCAGAATAGTATATTTGAGCGCCTGTCAATACCCTGTACAGTAATACCTTGGTTTACGAGCATAATTCGTTCCGGAAGCATGCTTGTAATCCAAAGCGCTTGTATATCAAAGCAAATTTCCCCATAGGAAATAATGGAAATTCAGATGATTCGTTCCACATCCCAAAAATAGTCATATAAAATGATTACAATACTGTACTGTAATATAATAACGTATAAAATGTAAAGAAAAGTAAACCAATTACAGGTACCTTTTGTGGCCTGTGTGAGGGGGACAAGAGAGAGGAGGATTATTGTGTAGGACGACTTTCACTATCACTAACGGAATCACTGCTATCTCTTGACTCAATGCAATCTTTTTCATTTTGTGAAACCTTAACAAGGAATCTATCCAATGTGACGTTGCATTGTCGTCAAACAGACTCATCGCTCGCACTGCTACAGCCTTGTTCGGGTGGTGCTTTTCTACCAAATGTTGCTCTTTTTGCAAGACATTTGCTTGTATATCAAAGCAAAATTTTTCAGAAATGTTTGCTTGTCTTGCAAAACGCTCTCAAACCAAGTTACTTGTAAACCAAGGTATTACTGTATAGTGTATATGACAGGCTGGCAGTGCCCTGTATAGTATACGACAAGCTGGCAGTGCCCAGGATAGTATATAAGAGAACCTGGCAGTGCCCTGCACCATATATATATTGACAGGTTGGCAGTGCCCAGGATAGTATATATAGAAGCCTAGCAGTGTCCTGTACAGTATAAACAGGCTGACAATGCCATGTAAATAGATATGACAGGTTGGCAGTGGCCAGTACAGTATATAACAGGCTGGCAGTGCCCGGTATAGTAGATATGACAGGCTGGCAGTGCCCAGAATAGTAGATGACATGCTGGCAGTGCCCAGTATAGTAGATATGACAGGCTGGCAGTGCCCAGTATAGTAGACATGACAGGCTGGCAGTGCCCAGTATAGTAAGACTGTGAAATGCTGGCAATGCCCAGTATAGTAGATATGACAGGCTGGCATTGCCCAGTATAGTAGATATGACAGGCTGGCAGTGCCCAGTATAGTAGACATGAGAGGCTGGAAGTGCCCAGTATAGTAAGGCTGTGAAAGGCTGGCAATGCCCAGTATAGTAGATATGACATACTGGCAGTGTCCAGTATAGTAGATATGGCAGGCTGGCAGTGCCCTGTGTAGTAGACATGACAGGCTGGCAGTGCCCAGTATAGTAGGGCTGTGAAAGGCTGGCAATGCCGAGTTTAGTATACAGATCATGCTGGATGTGCCCATTTTATAATATAATGACATTCTGGCTGTAACCAGTATAGTACATATGTCATAGGCTGGCAGTGCCCAGAATGATGCCCTTCCATCAGTAGACTACCCCCTCCCCCCCGGGCGCTGTACTGGTATCAGGCTGGGTGTCTACTGATATGATGGGTGACATGATGTAATCACACCCGGCTCCCCCCTCACCGGGCACTCCATGCCTTCCCCGTCTCACCTGCTCAGCTGTCCCCGCTCCCCTCACTCCGGTCCAGGGCGGAGAGCGGATCGGGCTGTGACGTGCGCTTTCCCCAGCCGAGCTGAATGTCCCAGCTGGGACGCCGTACACCCCCTGTCCCCGCCCTGTCCACTATCAGCCTCCGCCCATCCGGCTCCACTCCGCCTACCCGCTCCGTGACTGGCATCCCAACGCCCGCAAGTGAGCCTTACGTCATCCTTCGGGGCGGAGAATAGACCAACAGGCTCTGCGGCACTTCCGGCTCGTTCCGCTAGCGGCCGCCATGTTGGGAAGGTCAAGAAGGCTGGAGGGATGTCAGTGTGTCCTCTGGCCAGCCCGTTGCTGAGTGTGCAAAAATAGGAACGAGAAGCCCCCCGATGTGTATAACGCTCCCTGCAATGAGTAATATAATAAAGAGGATCTGTCTCTGACATGGACAGACATTTTGTAGTCTGAGTTCATTGTGGCCTTTTTCAGTGTTTTGTTTTTTTAGATGTTGGTAATTGTAAGAATAAATAAATTGCTGTGCTGCACTAAAATAGTTTAGTCTCAACCAACTAAAATGGACATGAGTGACAGGAACCCCCAGTAAATTATCAGAGGGGACAAGATTCAGTTTAAAGAGGCCCTGTCACCAGCTTAGAGGAATTGCATGTAAAAGCGGAGACAAAGAAAGTATTTTAAATGTTTACTTGCAGCATTTTTTCCTTTGCACACATTATTTTTATTCACTTGCACTGTGCCTCTGAAAAATTTGACAACTCCAGGAAGAGACAATTCCCTTGCACATCATAACCCTCTCCCTTTGTGTGAGTGTCCAATTACTGTCTGTGCTGGCCCAGCTCCTCTGCTTCTCACCTCCCCAATGTACTATTTACCTCCCCAAAGTGAACACATATATGGGAGAGAATACACGTAGGGTGAGAAGTATAAACCAACACAAGTTATCACCAGGGAAGGTTAAAAGTATTACAGAAGAGAAATCCGGGAAAAGGTTATAATCTATTTAGGTGTTTTGGAAGGTAAGGGGGATTGATAAGGGGTTAAATAGGAAACATTATTTTTGAGTAGATGTCACATATAGAGTATGGAAGATGAGATAACGAACACTGTCAAGCTAGAATATTGCCTGGATGAATGTAAGATAAAGTTGAAGATTAATATACGGAGAGATGCGTAGTAATGTTATTTGGGAGACAACAGTTATGATGCTTAAATGTATTCTTCAACGCTTTTTTTTATTTTTTTATAAAGTTTGTATAAGTATGTTTATTGAAATAAAAATATATTGAACCCAAAGTGTAACAGTACACTAAACCTTTCATCCGACGGCCATCATTGAACTCTCATTTAATCTCATATTAAAGGAGTACTGCAGGAAATAAACCCTTGCAGTGGGGCTACCCTAGCACTGCAAGGGTTAACTGCTCATTTTGGTCTAGGGTAGGGGTGAGCAACTCCGACCCTCCAGCTGTTCTTTAATTACATATCACATCATGCTTCTGGGAGGCATGCCTTTATGTCTTGCAATGCCTCATGGGACTTGTAGTTCCACAACAGTTGGAGGGCCAGAGTTTCCCACCCCTGGTGTAGGGGCTAAAATAGAGAAAATATACTTACCTGATCCTGGGTCCCGCTTGGCTGCTAGACCACTCTCTGCAGCCTGTTCTTTCCGGGGTTGTTTAAGGACTCCATGACATCATCAGATCTAATGCTGGTCCATTAGACGTAAGGACGCTAAGGGACATTCTACATCTAGAGCAGAGGGGAGAGAGGTGAGTGCTGACTGCCGCAGGACAGAAGATCAGGGGAGTATATTTTCTTTTAGAGAATAATGAGCACTTAACCCTTGCAGTGTGGAGGTCATTTTTACATTTACTGGAGTTCTGCTTTAAAATACATGTCTGAAAACATGTACACGTGCTACAGTCCTGCTTCGAAGACATTAAACCTCTATCCATGCTTTGTTGCAATAATTTAACCATTAAATATCATTATTTTGCTAGAAATCCAGCAAGCTTGTAACATCCTTTGCACTCCTGCTCTCTTACTAGCTAATATTGTCATCAGCCCTACCCATTTATGTCCGTGGATTATTACTATACTATGTATTCTTTATACAATGCTGATGTTATATCAGGATAGTTCTCCCCCTATGTCGAGAATGGAAACAGGGAGGGGAAGAGGAGACAGGAAGGTGTTCTGTAGTCCTAACACCTTTCCTTTCTTAGGGTGACAACCAGTGACGTCCCGAGGCTTACACGCATACGCGTGATGTTGCTGCGCGTGCGCAATGACGTCATCTCGCAAGCGCGGTGGTCTTTTTGACGACTGCCAGCGGCCATCTTGGTGATAGCCGCCGGCAGAGAGAGGAGGGGACATTCACCCGGCGGCATGATGTATCTGGGTCCGCTCCTCTCTCCTGACACTGTCGGGCTCTTGGTCCATGATCGAGTGCCCAACATTGCATAAGGGCTGACACCAAAATGACTATCAGTCATTTTGGTGTCACCCCTCCAATGGTGGCACCCGGGTGCGGCCCGCACCCCCCTTGTGACACCACTGGTGACTAGTGATGGGCTCGGGCGTGTTCGCAAGCTCCTCGTGCCGAGCCCCCTGGGAAGCTGTCAGCGCGCAGGGCCAATCACAGGCACTGAGACATTTCCCGATCTCTGCAGCTGCGGACCGGGAACATGTCTCAGTGCCTGTGATTGTCCCTGTGCGCTGACGGCTTCCTGTCAGGCTCGGCACGAGGCGCTTGCGAACTCGCCCGAGCCCATCACTACTGGTGACAACGTTGCTCCACCATACACAGTAAGTAACAGGGTTATTCACAAAAGGGTGAAGAGTTTGAAGAAGGCAGGAGTGAACAATCTAGGCCAGAATAGCTGATTTGGAAAAATTCTCCAATTCAGCTCCCTTTCCAAATCAGCTATTTTGGCCTAGATTGTTCACTTCCGCCTTCTCCAAACTCATCACCCTTTTGTGAATAACCCTGTAAGTGATGTCACCCTAGGACATAAAGTGTGTTACAGGCAGGATCACCAGGTGAATATAAAGAAAACAAAAAACTAGCACAGTCACCTTATCTAAGGACAGGTAAGCCGCAATATACCTTTTGGGTTTAGATACACTGAGTCTAAGCAGCGCCATAAAAAATAAAAAAAATAATATAATCGCCACTGTCAAATCTTATACTCTGGTTACAGCATCCAAGCAACTCCATGGTTAGTATTATCCTGTGATTCTAAGCAATTTTAAGATCTGTTTGCAGCCAATGGCGATATTCTTGTTAATGCAGATTTCCCTGGCACAAATCCCAATTCTGGATGTAGGATTCTCTGAAGCCGCCAGCTGTGTAAAGGTTATCGGGACCCTGTGATGCTCTGTAGATGAAGGAACATAATATTCATGACATCGTGTAGAGAGTGAAAGGTCGTCTGGTCTCATGTATTTCTAATGAGTCTACAATAGTCTTCTCAGATGGATCTATACTAATGAAGACCAGTCTTAAAGGAGAACCGAGCTAGGCTTAAATATATGTGTTTGACGGGTCATTTATGGCAATGGAAAAATGATTGGAAAGAGAGAATCAATTATGTTTACCCCTGTAGTATTAAAGCTGAACTTTAGACAGATATAAACAAATGGCAATTCCTGTAGTTATCCATTTACAAAGAAATCAGTCGGTGTATTTCTTAGGCCTAGTTCACACCAGATGCAGAGCGTTCGGGGCCGATTCTGGCCAGAGCGCACTGCCTCGCATTGCGGCCAGCTCACTTTTTTTGTGGGGCAGGAGGGAGCGTGGCGGCCCATTGAAGTGAATGGCACCGTAGCCACGCCCTCCGTCCGCAATGCGATAGGCCGCACAGGATCGCAAGGCACATTATGCCTGCGGTTCCGGTCTGATCAAAATAGTGCTTGCAGCATTTTCATCGGACCGGACCGCAGGCATAATGTGCCTTGTGATCCCGTGCGGCCGATCGTGTTGTGGCTGGATGGCGTGGCTACGTTGCCATTCACTTCAATGGACCGCCACGCCCCCTCCTGCCCCACAAAAAAGTGAGCCGACCGCAATGCGAGGCAGTGCGCTCTGGCCAGAATCGGGCCGGAACGCACTGCATCTGGTGTGAACGAGGCCTAAATGCTACTATTGTAGGTATCAGAATTTGTCCTGATCGGAGCTCTGTATTGCTCTGCAGTGCATTCAGGTTGGAAAAGGGCGCCCAAAGGTCTTTATGTTGCTCTAATGAAGGGCACCCTGCCTGGCCCCGAAACGTTGGCAGCTATGGCATTATGTGATGACAAACCAATACAATTAAGTAAGGTTTGAAACAATCATGTGTGTGCTGGTGATCGTCTAACCTCTAAGCGTAACTTCCACATGACGCCATCTGTGTTATCACATCGAGCAACACCTTCCTAAAGGTCGCAACGCTGTATGGAGTGCATGTGACACACTACACTTCCTAATCTGAAGGAGCCAGACTCAGTAAACATGCTGACAGAAGGAGAGAACAGAGGGATGACCATCATTTTGCTGCTTTATTGACTACTCAGTAGGGTGGAGGAGGTGTGTTCTTGACCAAGTTGTACTACACTGGGGGGACTCTACCTTCAACGATAATGTGCTGTTGTTTTGGGAGAAGTTGAAACCTATCTCCACGGGAAAAAAATACCCTTGCAGTGGGGCCCTGTTTGGCGCACATACACAGAAACGTGGCAAAATACACAACACGTATGAAAACACAGAAGCCAAAAATGCGGAATGCGTGTTGCAAAATCTGCTACATGAGCTTCTTTGCCGTGTTTGTCACGTGTGCAGGCCCTGCTAAACTCAATGGGGATGTGCTGCACACGAACGCAATGACCGTTCACGCCACATGCAGGTGTGAATGCAGGCTTACAGGAGACTGGCTTGTTAGGTTTTTTTTTTCCACTAATAACAGTGAAGGGCCCTGCAAGCAGACTTGCACCAAGGAAGCAGCAATGCTTAGGATGTTCCCAAGAAATGTCTTGCAGTCAAAAGCAAATTATCACATTCCAACTGGCATTTTAGCATTGCAAACTAAAGACGGATAGTGAACACTGGCTACGTGCAACCAGAAATCTGAGCATACAGCTATCACATAAGAGTGCTAGCATGAAGAGCACAAAGATGGCGTCCTTTGGCTTCACTAATGACTAGCCATCTCCCTATTCGTAAACCGAATCCTAAAGATCTTATCCAATGCTGACTCGCTCACTGTTGTCTATAGAAATATTTTCCGAGCTTTAAAAAAAACGTGACCTGATAAGTCACTCAGGTGTACCACCAACATCCTGGCCACCTACTACTCAGTTCAGTCACAATGAAGCCACCGTCTTGGGTGTAAGGGGGCGTGTCGTTCATGCACGCACGGTGTTGCAGCGGCGCGGTTCGCTGATTGGCTGGCGGGTGGAGGCGGGAAGTGTGAGAGAACTAGGATTTCTGGCGGTGAGGCGGCGGGTGAGAGTGGGTGTCATGGCATACCCGGGTTCTGCACCCGGCTGTGTAAACTGCTTGTGGGGAGGGTTATCGATACAGCTATGACCTGGATAAGACAGACATGTCTTCTTGCTGCATGTGTTACCTGGCTGCCACCATTACATGCGCTATTGTTATACATTGATTTGAATTGGCTGCCGTAACCCAACGCACATTAACATGTTACACATATATTAATACAAGGCACAAATGTAAATGAATCCTAAATGTTATAACCCTGTAGTGTAGAATTTGGTGCAATGCCCTGCTAGCAGCATATAGGCATTTATTATATATTACTTTTTCAAACGCACCAAAACTTCCCAAATTTCAGACGTCACAATTTTTGGTGCAATAATGCATTGCCATATGTTGCAGTGCTTTGCCTTAGTTCATTGGCCATGAATGGCACTACAATATGTTAATGCATATAAGGTGGAGGAATGTGTGTGGTAACATCCTGGGCTTTTGTCAGTCTGTTTACTGTCCTCCACCACATCAGCTCTGCTCCACCTTTTCTCCTCCCCGCTGGAAGCACGCTGCATGCTTTAGTCTCTGTCCGCTTCAATCCCCGCTGCTCTCCTCGCCTGTATCAGTTGGGACACAGACTGCTGCAGCTGGAGCTCAGCGGGTAGGAGAGACTGCTTTGACTGTGTGCCGCCCCCCGTGCCCCCTCTTCCGATCAACTCCTTAGCGACAAGACTCGCATCCAGTGGCCGCAGCTATTGGCCATTTTAAATTGCAGTAGCCAAAGCAGGCTGGCTATTGCACTGCCTGCTGTCAATCAGCAAAGGGGGACCTGAAGGTGAACTTTCTCCTTCAGTTCCCTCCTCTCCTGATTGATGGCAGGCAGTGGGGAGGTGCAATAGCCAGCTATTGGCTACTGCAATTTGAAATAGCCAATACCAGGCTGGCTTTTGCTCCCAGCCACTGCCTGCTGTGTTTACATTCAGCAGGCAGCTGTCCTTCCCCGGCTAAAGCTAGCTATTGAATTGGAAAGGTGACATTAGGGATCTAATAGACCCCTCATGTCACCTTAAAGAGAACCTGTCATCTCCAATGTGCTATCTCATAGGGGGATTATGAGGCCCCCCATGTGATAGCAATGAAATTAAGTAAAAAAAATAAAATTAAAAGTGTAAAAACAGAAATGTAAAGTCCCCCGCAAACACTCGCATACTAACGGAAACACAAGTTGGGTGCACCTACGTACGGAAACGACGATTGTGCTGCACATCTCCTGGCTCCTATTTTATTTAGCTGGCTCCTAAATTCAAAGTGAATTTGTCAAGCCCTGCCCTAGGGGGTCTGTTTATAAATGTTTTGTGTTTTTCACTTTTCTAATTGGATTTAATTGAATCTATTGTTACATGGCCCTTAGGGTCAAAACTAATGGCATCTTTACTGCTGAGGAAGTACAAGCAGATTTGTATCCATCGTGCAGTACCATCAGGGAGGTGATGCCATCTCCTGCTTCTTTTTGGCTGTTGAACGGCCACTGTTGATGTAACTCCTGCTGATGCTGTATTCATTTGTGTCTTTTATAGCTGCATAGATTTTAGATTAAAAACAAAGCTTTATTGACTGCTGCAGTGGTGTAATTCAGTCTCAAAGATCTGCTCGTAAATGAGCATTATGATACGCATTGACATTCGATACAAAGTACATTGCAACTTGCGATGATGCGTGTTTTGATGCATTTCTATTGATTTATAATAGAAAACATCTAGGTGTTAATAGGCCCTCAAAGTGTTGTTGTAAACTCTGAGGGGGAATTAGTCCACAATGCCTGCAGCTACAGAGGTTGGTAAAAACATTTACAATGTATGTACTACATTTTAGAATATGTACATATTTGATAGCCGGATCACTTATCTACTTTCCTGTTTTCACATTTTTATTAAGCTGTTTGGATGGAGTTAACTTTTTTTCTGGTTAAACTACATCACAGCCTGTGTTCAGCAAGAGCAGCCAATAGAAAGCGCCCTTTACACTGCACGATTCTCGTACGAGAATCGCGGGAAATCCCGCGATCGTACGAGAATCGTGCAGTGTATGGAAGGCGTGCGACCGTTTCTACTGTTCGGTCGCACGTCTTCCATCGAACAAGCAGGCTGGAAAACCCGCCGGGAATCGTACGATTCTCGGCGAGTTAGTGGCCTGCTTGTTCCACAACTGACAACACTGCCCGTTTGCTGTCCTCGCAAGCCCCCCCTCATTGCAGTCATCGCAAGTACGATCTGCCTGTCCAAGATGGGCAGATCGTACGTTTTTTTAACTACCTATAAACATAATATGATCGGGTGCTAAAAGCAAGCACAACTTCATCAATTACTGTTTGTTTGTTTGCTTACAATTTTTATGTTTTGAGATGGGGATATTTTCATATTGATGTATCTGACCTTTTTCCCATTATTTACTTGTCAGAGCTGGCCATAGGTAACTATGTCTGCGGGTCAGATGGGAGGCAGGCTAAAGCCTGAGCAGGTGGGATCAAGTAGAAATGAGCCTTCATCATTTGGAAAGGTATGTAGATGCAGTCCTTTTGTACTACCAG